GTCCTAATGGCTTATATTCTGTTTGCTTCATGCTATTAATTTTCCCCAGCTGACTGGCAGCTTTTTAACTTGAGCACTCGTATTTCGGAATTATTAGCACCTAATGTGGGAGTTTAATTCATGATGTAACAAGTTGTTTTATTTACATGTCATCGAGCAGCACTATTGGATTTATTTTGTCTGACATCGTCGCGATCTTTGGTCTTACTCTGACACTTCCAGGACCTTTCACGCGGCCGCATCCGTTGGTTTGGAGAGTTATCTTCGGTGCCAGTCTGCTATACTTTCTCTCTCTTGTGTTCGCCATATTTCTGGGTCTCGAGGATACTAGGCGTCTACTTGTCTGGATGTATCCCAACCTTCTTTCGCCGGACGATCCATTCATCAAGGCCGAATATGGCGTCAACTGTAGCCAAGTAAGCCCATTTCTGGATGTATGCCTCTTTTCTGCATCTTGCAGGTAAGCTTTTTAACTTTCTGAATCCAGAGCGAGTTGAGTTGAATTGAATTGAGTATAGCAAATTAAGTCTGATTAAATCGTAGAGCACTTAAATGGTCCTTTTGCGTCTATAAGAATTTGTTGTTTGTCTAGTCAATTTCCCCTTTATATAGCCTTCAATCTTCTCTCTGAAGACTAAACAGATAAAATATTTTTCGAAGGTATGAAGATCAAGATAGTGTGGCCCTCGGTATGGTCACAGTCTCCTTTTTATGCATAGGAGTGAGTTGACCTAATTTTATTAACTTGGTCTTGCTGTCAAGGCGACCTAGTTGGATGCATCTTGTCAGAGGTCCTCTGCTATAGTAGTTATCATAATTCCAAGCGTCAGCCCATTGACCTGGCACATTCTCAGACTTCTAAGTCTACGATCTGACGCTGGGAATTATGGTAACTACTATAACAGACGACTTCGGACAAGGTGGGTCCAACTAAGTCGCCTTGACAACCAGACCAAATTGCGAAAACGAGGTCAACCCATTTGAATATTTTTCGTTTATAATTAGGTTTTCGAGACTACCAATATATCATATATATAAGAATGTATTAACTTGCGTTCGTTAAGGTGGTAAAGGACTGGCAGTTGAATTTTTTCGACATAGATATGAGTAGGCCCTGTATTTCCATTGAATTTCACATAGCAATGCTTCATAAAATATATTCTCATTTAGGGTAGACTTCAATCTCGACCTTAAAAATCTACCTATAAATGAGAAATCCCCCGGTGAATGTGATATGGAAAGTGCCTGGCTTCCCTAAAATTCGCATCTTCCCTGTGACCCAAGGGCACTCGTGGCAGTATGGCGTAATAGTTAACCTGTTGAGATTATACGCTCCACTGACACAACTCTGATTCGACTCCTGTTGTGGGTAGAAACGGCAGTCCACTTCAGCCTGTATTAAAATACTTTTTGGAAGATCAGGGCTATGTGGAATTTAATGGAAAGGTAAGGCCTACTCATATCGTTGTGGGAAAAATTCAACTATCTGTTCTTCATAACCCTTAACGAAATAGGGCAAATACATCTTTAATAAAAAGATTAACGTTTTTCACAAGTAATTAGTTTTAGCTTTAAACTTAATGAATACTGGTCACAAAGAATCCTTAAAAAATCCTATTTTCTCCAGGCTATTCACAGGACGTCAACCTGTCCTCACTATGCCACCAAACTACAACCAGCTGAGAAAATAATATGTAATCGCACAGCTAAGCGCACCGAAACACGACATACAGTTGATTTGAATAGGGAAGATTCCAGTACATCTTTATATATTTTACTTCGTTCCTCGGTATTCATTCTGAATATGCGGTTTTCTCTGTCTTGTATTCTTAATGACATTCCAGATTGTACTATTGCTTCCCTTTTCACAGCTTTGAGGTAAGAATTCATTATCGAGTGACCGGTTTTCTAATAAGGCCGAATATGGAAAGACGTTTACCAAAACCTATTCTACATTTGGAGTTTTAGTTTCCTGTCCACATCTTCTGAACTTCGGGATTAACTAAGAATTTTCTCACATTTTGTATCTTTTCGATCCACGTTCTACGGGCTACATGAAATTTTCGCATATAGTTCCATAATTTCTGGAAATAAGGCATCCTAGCTCACTTGCTTGTTTTTTGCTTGCTTGTTGTTCTGACGACCACATCTGGTATTTCACTTAAATTTGCGCCTTACGAATACATACCTTTCTTTAGTTTTCTCACTAGTTTAATTTTTAATACGCTTAAATACTTAATTACATCCTTTCGTCAAGATGTGTGTGCGTGACTTTGAAGATATCAGAAAAGCTAAAGGAATATGTTTTTCAGAATAAGTTAAGCTATAAGTGAGCATTACAAATTATTGAAGGGATAAAACGTTGCTCATTATTCTGT